CATTTCTTCTCAGCCCACTCCTGCCTCTGCAAGCACCCTGAGCACCCTGATGCCCAAGTCCCTGCTATAGGCGTGTGAAAACGGTGTGGCCCCAGCTGCCAGCAGACGTGGTACCTCCGTTAATGCCAAAGCACCCATGAGATTCCTGAACTAGATGTTCCTGCACTGACTGGTCTAGACCATCGCTGCTTCCCAGCCAGATGAATTTTATATTCAGATGTCCTCAGGTGAGAGAGAGTGACTTTGGAAGGATGAGGTTAGGCACATGGATCCAAACCAGACTCCCAGCTCCAGTGGACTCATATGAGGAGCCTAGAAATTTCCAGAGACCCTTGGAATTAAATTATTAAACTATCAAACAGCAGCTTTTGTGACCCTGACACATCCAAATGATCTTTTGCCACTTGTTTTATTAATTTTTGCTTCTGAAGACAGGGAAAATGAAGGGAGGCTTAATATGGTTGTGCAGCTTTGTGTCAGGAAATGTTACTGAAAATAAGCAATTTTTCTGCTTTAAGTTGCATTTACAAATACACTGGTGGTACCTTGACTAGAACTGCTGACTCTCTTAGAAAAGAAACATTTTAGAAGGGAAGACATATTTTATCTTCTGTAAGATTCCTCAGTGCTCACCAGTAAAATTCTTCAACACTGATAAATAAACAAAGGCCTTACTTTCATACTATTAAGTTGTTTAAGTGTAAGTACAATACCAAGTTATAAATACGCTCTGTAAGAGGTCACAAATGCAGCTTATCGCTCACTGACTGGTTTAGAAACTATTTTTGTCCTGCTGGATTTAAAATTTCTGGTGAAACTGGTGAGGAGTGAGTGCATCAGCACATCCTGTTATCTGAGTCAATTGAAATTGCACCTGTTCTTGGATGCAAGTCATAACAAATGCAACCCATTTACGTTCTAAAGAAAAGGACTTGTATGCACTTTTTCCAATTAACATCTGCCTTTTGGCAAGTCATTAACCTATTTTCTCACAAAGAAACGGCTTCAATTGTATTATGCATCCGAAGCGTGCTGAAGTCCCTGAGGGGGCACTCTGACAAAAACATACAGTTCCTGGATCCAATGTGAACATACATATTCATTAATTGTTTGGGGCAAAGAGAACAGAATTTCTGATTTTTACAAGTCTTACAAGGTAAACAGGTTACATAAAGCTATGTCCTTGGAAATACATTCAGATCCCAGCTACCCTCGCTCAGGAGAAAACTCAAGAGTGGTTTTGTGCCGTGATATGGCAATGAAAATAATTCACAAGAAAAAAAAAATAAAAGAAACTGTTTACCCTAAAAATAGTACAGTGTATTTATTTATTTAAATAAATATAAATAAATAAAGGTGGGAAGTTGTATTTCTGGAATTCCTCATGCTACAGGGATCTCTCAGGCCATCTTAAAATGGCAAGGAGAACCTATTCTACCACAATTTCTCCAGCCAGCTTCGTTCAATCAGAATTTAAAGCAAAAGTTTGTTTCTCACGATAACAATGATGATAATGAAACAATGAATTATTATCTTACACACGTAAAAGCAAGAAACAGCATTTCCCTAAAGATGAGGGAAGTTGTTCAGATACATTTGCCTCCAAATGCAATGGGAACTGGTTTCCCAAAACTAAAAGTTTATAAAAGATGTGTCCACAGTAGTAAAAAGTAAATACCAAAGACTTTTCGGAGAATGTAGTGGTGTCTTTGAAAAAAAACAAACCCAAACCAAAAATGAATCGACCTCCAAAAATAAAAAAGAGAAAATCCAGAATGCAGTTTGAGCCGTCAGGTTGATCCATAAAGCACAATGGATTACTAGCATTAAGTAATGTCTCAGTCTGATTTTGTCCTGGTATTTGATAATCTGTATGTTCAAATCAAAAGAAAAAGTGAAGCACCTTAAGGCTCAACGTTGCAACGTTTAGCCATTTGGTGTCTGTCCCCATGGTGATAACTAGGAATGCTGAAACGTGCTCCCAAAGGAAGTGTATATTGCCATCCAAAATGAAAAACTGAGAAAAAATACCTTTATTGCTTCAGCATTGTGCCTTATGCAATGCTCAAGTTAAAAATTCCATTAAAATTCCACTAAACTTTGATGGGAATTACAAATAAAATTTAAGACACTATAGCAACTGACAGCATTTCTTTCAATTTGGAAGAGCGCTTTTGTTTCGAAATGTCTGCAGAAGCACGTACGATGAGTTGCTGAGCTACTGCGTAATGCTTGGACACTTCAGCAATTTGCAGTTGGGTTCCTCCAGAGGCAGTCTCCCAGCGACGCTGGCAGAAGAGGTTATTTCTGCTGCCACCTTCTCTTTCTCTCTCCCACAAACCATGGGGATCTACTGCATGTCATTCAGACATCGGTGTTGGGTTTTTTTTAGTTAAGTAATTGAGTCATTTTCGCAGTAGCTGGCCTGGATGCAGTCTTTCTCCAACAGGGTGGCCTATTTACCTTTACTATCAGAGGGATAACTTAGCTTGAGGAAAGCTGGACTGCATCAAGCACATAGTTCAGCTTGTTTAGAACAAGAACGGATTTTCAGTGCTTCCCTGCAGTCTGCAATACAGATACACTTTTCATAATAATTTAAAGACCTCTGCAATTATTTTTTCACATGGTGCAGAAGCACAACTAAGGCCAAACAGCAGTCATTTTCCTCTAGCTCTATGAGGTAATTCAAATTATTCTAGTCATCAGTTATTGGCCAGAGCATAAACCCTACCATAAATGCTTGTGAGACTTTAACCAGCCTCTTCACATGCTTTTAAGGAAGTTTTTTTATTTCATAGTTTTATTCAAAATTATATGGATCAAGAGAATGAGATAACTCACCCACACTAATGTTCCTTTAAAAGAAACAATACATTAGCTGTTTGTGATTGTGTTTTAGGAGAGCCATCACAGCTTGAGGAAAATACCTCCATTGTGATCTCAACCAACCATCTCTAGTTGTACAGACATTCCAAGTGTCATGCATGTTGAGTTTCAATACCAACAGACCACCCAACAGAATGACAAGAACATAGCTTAATTTGGAAATGTTATGTTAGTTCACCAGATTCTCAAACCACAGAGAACAAACTGGATTAAGTAGAAAACGCTCCAGATAATAGGTACTGAAAAGGAAGAAGGATTAGTGATAGGAGCTAAGGCAGAAAGGAAAATTTCACCAGATATTTTATTAAAAAATACAGAAGTAAAAGAAATTTCCAAATCTTATTGATAAATAATCCTGAAAAGCTTCACAACAAAAAATCTACAGATTTAAATCATATATATATATAGTCTACTCAGAAAAAAAAAGCAAGAAACAAGCAAAGGATTTTAATAGCTACATGGTTTTGTGTCTTCTAACGGAGCCATGAAAAGGCAAAGACCACAAGAGTATTTCCAAATGCAAAAAGCAAAGTACATCTGACCTAAAAGACAGTATTTACATAACTATATGTTATATAGCGTTATAAACAATTGCATAATCAAAGGTCAGGCTGTTTACATTGGAATAGATAAGACCATCCTTTCACAAAAAATCTGTGGCTAGGTTGTTGCATAGAAATAGTTGCATGCAAAATTTTATAAGAAGAAACTGCTTCTTCATGATAAACAGTGCTACTTAAGACTGAGCTGAAAATATGTTGTACTCATTGGAAAAATTCAGAGTTTACCAAGCGAGGTGATGTCTGTCTATCTGAAGGTAACTATGAGAGAAAATGAAAAGTTGTAAAAGAAAAATTGACTGCTCATTGCTTTGGCTTGAACCGCAACAGTATTTGCACAGTGAGCTTCTGTACTTAAGCTGAACTCTACTGATGTTAATGAGGTTCAGCCCAGGAAATGGGCTTTATCTATATACAGCCAGTTGCAGAATTGGATTAAAACGCTCCCCCCATTTCAAGTGTCCTATTTTTCAACATACAAAATGTGAGGTTGCAGAAATGGGCGACTACCTAGTTTTGACTGTGGATTTATAACAGGTGTTCTGCAATTGCCATTAAAAAAAATAATATGTAGACATAAAGAAGCATAGATGCTTTCTATTAAAAACAAGACCTACAATTGTCTTTCTAAAAATTGCATTTTTATTAAAAATAAAACCAAAAATCATCATACATTGCAAAGTCTTTCCTGATTTATGGCTTCATTTGTAACACATTAACTGATGGGGGACATTCATAGTATGCAAAGCTTGAGCACCTGTGGAAGTCCTTGGAAAACGAGAATCTGCTGCAGTTATGATATAGATTTCACATCATTTTGTGTTTGGTTCAAATATATTCTTCAGAAATAAGAAGCTGATTTTTATTTTTCTAAATATGAAAAAGGAATTTTGATGGGGATGAGGTAAGTAGAAGTGCTCGACTGCATCAGTCTTGCAGCTGAATTCACACAGATGTAATTATAGTTTCAAAGTTTAAGCGACTTCATTTTCGTATTTCTAACTAAAAGTTTTTATGCTACATCTTCTTGCTCATCACTAAAACATTCAGAAGATATAGAGTAACTGTCACTAGTTTTTGGTAAAATATTTGAGAGTATGTAAGAGACAAAGAAAACCTCTGGCATTTTTGGAGTTAGGGCTAATTAGGTCTTATTTAATTTAGATGCTTAAGTAATGTTCCCTTAGCACAAAGAGCATTATTTTCACAATCCTTACCTGAGTTAAAAAACCTGCATAGTGCACTTCCTTAATAATTGCTATTCATCTGAAAATATGTCATTTGTTACTTAGTCGTATTCAAAGGTCTTATTAGGTTGAAATAAGAGCCCTATTCGTTTTGGCTGGGCTACAGTTTATTAAATATATAAGCAGAATATCTGCTTGCTTCCAATGTTTAAAATGTGTTGCATTTTTTTTTCTTCAGTTTTTATTACATTGACTTGTTAGAAAAGGAGGATTTTTTTTTGTTTATAGCAAAATCCAAAGAAGTAACATTCATATTTCCTTGTGAATATATGAAACATATTCATCAATACAGTTCATTTTCATCTTATTCTTCCTGTCTTCCCTGAAGTAACATTTTTTGCTGATTTTCTAAGCATTCTTTCAATTTATCTTCAGTCAAAGTCAGACGTTGTTCCAGGATTGAAATAGTCTGCATGAAGAGTACAGTAATTTCAATTTGTTTTTATATTACTCACACAGTATTATAAAAAGTGTGCAACATAGTAAGATAAGAAAAATTGTTTTAACTCAACAGGGAAAAAATATCCTAAGATGGCTTTTCCTTAGTTATTCCACTATTTACAACCGTATTTAAAAATAATGGCTTTATATCTATGGAGATTGTATAAAGGTTTAAAATTGTTTTCCCAAAATATTTTCTCTGAGACAGAAAGAGAGAAATATACACACGTATCTATAAATTACTCTGAAATACTATGTGAGAGTTGCATCCATATTTCAATAGAAAAATAGCCATCACTGGTGACCCCAATGATATCTTCCAAAAACCTAGAAGAAACTTCTAAGGCATCTCTAAAAAAGGAAGTGAGAAAAAAAATATACTATTAACAAGAGATTAACTTCATCAGAAAAGGTAGCTTTCTGGACACAGGCTGGCAGTTTCTTTTTAATCCAATTTACTACACAAATCATTTTCAACTGATGACTTGACTCCATACTTCTCAAAATTTATTTCTTGAGTTAACATATATATTGCAAAAGAACACAGAAAAAAACCCTAGCCGCTCCCTTTTGATTTGGTTTAATGTTAGTATATTACAGGCTACAGAGTAGTATCTTAACCATAGATTGGCTAAATCTGGATTACTAAAAAGTACTGAGCATTTGCAAACAAGTGACTGAGTCACTGACTGAGACTAGTGTTTGTGCAGTTTCACTGACACTAGGAATTATTCCACTGCCTATATTCCCACCTAAGTCAACACCTTGAACACCAAGACTGAAAAGGGATTTAATGGTACATTGCCAATTTACTTTGTGCAATCCCCGCTAATGCATGACTGTTCAAGCTGGAATCTGACAATGTCTGCTAAACAACTGGCTTCTGGCAAATCTGCGCTAGATCTCACTACTGAAAATAGTGACTTTTCCTCCAGTATTAAAAATACAACAATAATCTTTATGATTATGTAGCAGGAAATTTTCACTTTAACAAGCACAATACACGCGATCAATATTTGCTGAAAGGAATAAAACAAAACAGTCACTTGACTATACAACTGTTCAAAATAACCCCTTAGACTTTAATATTTTGATCTTTGAACGTGGTTCCTGTTTTTTTTTTCCCCATTGTCAGCGTTATCATTTTCCACTGCAAATGTTACCTGTTACTGCATACTTACTAGAGTTAAAACATCCAGCTGCTCCACAATGTGCTCCAAAGCACTACCCAGGGAGGGGGAGATGCCTGTTTGCTTGTCTGCATTATGTGTGGCTGATTCGCTCCCATTCTCTGACCTCCTTTTTGAACTTGTTGCCAAGACTGAAGCAGAAGGATACTGCAGATCTTCACTACTGACATCATCCTTGAATACAGAAACACCATTTGAAGATTCAGTTGCCTTTGTCTTCATTTAATTGGAACCATACAAGAACATAAGCAGAAAAGTCTGGCTTTTAATTTAAAAAAAAAATCTATTTACACATATATGCACACACACAAGGGCCTTCAGATTTGCTGCTTGTGCCAGGCCCAATTCATAACACTTCAATTCGTTCAGACCTAAGAGAGAATTTCAGCTGCGATGGATGAGGCAATAAGAGAAATCTCAGCACTGCTTACGCACAATTTCAACGTCAACACGTAACAGGTATATATGATTGAGGAACTAAATGTTTTGCTACTAGAGCTTGAATTGAAGCTATATTAAATACTATTGCTGACCGGAGTTTTCCTCAAAAAGATAGCTCTAGTTCACAAACTAATTCATTCACAGCAGTCATATGGATGAAAAATCCATATGTAACTAGATGATCACAAGAGTTCCTTACAACTTCATAGTATGAAACCTTTGTTTAGTATGAATTAACCTCTTTCATAATAAAAAAAAAACAACAACACAGTTTTTAGTTGTTTATTCAGTGGCATTACTTTTTGAGAAACTGATTCCTTCAGAAAATGGGAGAAGGAATCAACAGAAAAGACCCACACAATGCAAAGTTAAGAGAGAAATAACTTTGATGTGTAAACTTTGCCCCAGGGCAAGTGAGAGAGCATGATCTTCCATATCACTTCTAGTTTTGTTTGTGCCTCAAAAGTGCCATTAAGAACTTCAAGGCACATCACTCATTTATTAGAAGGTCCTTCATAACAACTTCACCTGATTTATTAATGTCTTTTTGAGATTTCTTTGCAAACTTCTTGTATCTTCAGATCATTTTAGTGTAAAAATAAACTAAAGTTAACTGAGATAGTCAAGTTTTATTACCTCTAATTATATTTCCAATAGCCACAACGATTACAAAATCAAACTTTTAAACAGTTACAATTTAACTGTTTCTCTGAAATTTGTTGACAGCTGATGAAAGTATCCATTAGCTATGCAAAGAGGAAGTTGTAGTCTTACTTGATATATTTGAAATACGCTATATTTGCAATGTACCAAAATATATTTATGTTGCAAAGACAGGTCTCAGCCCCTAAGCAAGAGCCCATGCAGAGCAGAGCATGGGGTTGATAGGGGCAGGGGAAGATGCCCATGCATATACTTCAGGCATTAACTTCCAACGCTACAAAAGTGAGACCTCACTTGGAGTATTGCATCCAGTTCTGGAGTCCCCAACATAAGAAGGACATGGACCAGTTGGAGAGGGACCAGAGGAGGGCCACGAAGATGATAAGAGGGCTGGAGCACCTTTCCTATGAGGACAGGCTGAAAGAGTTGGGGCTGTTCAGCCTGGAGAAGAGGAGGCTCCGGGGTGACCTTATAGCGGTCTTCCAGTACCTCAAGGGGGCCTACAAGAAAGATGGGGAGAGGCTGTTCAGGAGGGCCTGTTGTGATAGGACAAGGGGTAATGGTTTTAAAATAGAGGAAGGTAGATTCAGATTGGATATTAGGAAAAAATTTTTTACCATGAGAGTTGTAGAACACTGGAACAGGTTTCCCAGAGAGGTGGTGGATGCTCCATCCCTGGAGACATTCAAGGCCAGGTTGGATGAGGCCCTGAGCAACCTGATCTAGTTGGAGATATCTCTGTTCCTTGCAGAGGGGTTGGACTAGATGACCTTTGAAGGTCCCTTCCAGCCCTAATGATTCTATGATTCTATGATTCTAAAACCACATGGAACCCTTCTCAAGGGTTCTCATGGTATTTGGTGATGTCACTTTCATTGATTTCATTATGATGAAAGAAACAGATAAATGAACTAGAAGATACCTCCAGTTCCCTTTCAGCCCTCTTTTCTGGGCTTGGTGACTGGTTTATGCAAATGGAACTAAGCATGTCAAGTAATAAAGGTCTGATGCAACTAATACTGAAATCCATCAGTGATTTGTATTGATACTGGGTTGTGTCAAAAAATAAAAGCGTGCTAGACATCAAACTACAGATTTCAAACATTAAACATCCGAGGCTGTTCTATGGAATGTACTAATGGTTACAACATTTGCATTGGACTACAGAGAACTGGCCTTCTCAGTCTAAGGCTATTTAAAGTCCTGGCTTATAGCGCAATACTTGGTCTGCTACGCTGTTGCCTTTTAAAGGCATGAAGTGGTAGAAGGAAGGGTGCCCTCTCCAGCCATGCTGATTGTGTTTTGCCACTGGTCAACAGAAACCAGCTTTAGTTCATTGGTCAGGATGCTCAGTCAGGAGCAAGTAAGTTCTGTTCCTCTGAGAAGCTTTATGTATTTTTTATTAAATAGCTAGGGGATAAAATGAATAAAAACTCCATAGGAGAAAGGATTTGAATGCAGAACTTCTGCACTCCTAACTAGGTGGTTTAATTACATCTTTCTGTCCAGTAACATGAATTTCAATTTCTTCTCAGTATGAAAAATCTTGTGATGTCAACTTCAAATTATTCCAAAGAATTGCACGTCGTGGAGGAGTCACTTGTTAGCACACAATGAAACAGAATATAAATGGTTTGATTTTTTGACAAGCTAGGCAGAAAAGAAAAACAATTTTCCCATTTAATTTTACTTTGATTTAGCTCCTTGCTTTAAAGTGTTTCGGATATCTCAGAATATTCTGGCTCACAATTCAACCCATGTACTTTTAGATGAGCATGAAGTATATCAGATTATTGCATCCTAAAGCTGACCATACCTTCCCTTTGCAGATTTCATTATATGAGATACCATTAATTCAATTCTGGAAGAGCTTACATTGACTGTGTTATTTCTTACTTATCAAGTTATATCTGAGGTCCGCAGGAAAAAGGATTAATGGAAGCTTTTTGGCATGCTTACTAACTCACAAGATGGAGATAGTCTCAAATGCTGATTAACACAGAAAAGATTAAGCTCAATTTGGCATTCAAATGTTAAAGAAAAAACATTGCCATAGAGTAAAGAATTCCCGCCTTACAACCAATCATATTATAAAGAACAACATCCTTGCATTTAACTACAACAGGAGAGTTTGTTAGAACAGACTTATTAGTGAGATTTCTATAGAAAGATAGCGAGATTACAGAAACCTTGCTTCTGTCTGTCAATCTTGACTGCTTGCCCAGAAGCTTCCAAACCTTAACCAGGACTAGCTAAATTTGACAGAGAGGTAGAGGGCTCACTGATTAAGTTGAAACAAATTTCAGGAAAATTGGAGGCAGGGTAGATGGGACACATTGCAAGAAAGACAAGCAGAGTTCAAGCATTATATATTCTGCATGGCAGCAGTAAACCTGCCTGGTTATCACATGCCTTAGGAAACGCAGACAGTTGATGAGAGAAGCTAAAAGCATCAGTGAAAAACAGCCAATTGGTGCAGGAACAATTTGTAAATCTTATGCAATTCTTCTTTGTAGACACCTGTATGTGTCCTCTGAAAATTCTGGCACCTTTTGCTGATTTTAATCAAACCTAACGAAGAAGTAGGGGGTCTTGGCAGTAACTAAGCTCCTGAAAGCTTCAGGAAAGCCTTTGCCAGAGTTTCCTACCTGAGGTTATCACAGCTCTACAAAGTTCACACTCCCTTAGCTCTGAAGAGGAATAAGGATGTGAGTTCCAGAAGTGTGAGAAAGACCCAGGCTGGAACCCACATCTTCCCAGACACGAATATCAATAAGCTCATTGGAAATAAATCTAGCATAGTTCATCTAATGTTAATAAGGCTACTTGTATTAACGTTTTGAGAAGTACATTAATTTTCTTGCTGTTTGAATGATATAATTAAATAACAGCCAAAGCAGATGTAACCATAAACTTCAACCGATACTCTTTGACTTTGCTTAAGGCATACTGCTTTGCAAGTTCAGTGTCCTAGGGATAATCTATTAATTCTCAAGTACTTAAAAATAATAAAAACAGATTTAACATTCAATGGCACTCAAAAAATTTCTGTCTGCGATTTAAATTATTAAGATTTAAAATTAATTTAAATTAATGGAGCAGAAGAAGAAAACAATCTGATGTTATTAGACAATGACAAGTTCCTCTAAAAACAGTTGTGCTCTCAGGTTAGTGTTTCTCAGTTTCTTTGCAAACAAGCCTGCTGTACTTCAGACTGAAAATAAGTAGAGATTTCAGTTTAAGTTACCACAAAGTTATTACAAATTCTGCTATTAAAGCAAACATAAATGGATTCTTCCAACCTAAGGAAGGAAGTTGTCGGTTCACGTAAACAGAGCAAATGCTAAGCTACTAAAAATCTCACCAAATATTTTTTTCTTACAGTAAAATTGATCCAAGCTTCAATGTATCAGACCAATAGGCTGTGAAAAATGCTTTGTAGCTCAGTAAATTGCTACCAACATTGCCAAGTCAGAGTACTGGAAAAGTCTTCATGTAGTTTAGTGGGTTAAACAGGAAATTCAGATTCTTCTGTTACATACTCAAAGATATATACGGACAATGCGACACAAAAGTCCTTATATAAATAAGATAAAGGCTCGATGTTTGTCAAATCTGAAAGGATCAAACACAGATAAGCAAATAATTGAACTTTCATAATTAGTAAGAAAGAAATGAAATGAGAAAGTTTCAAATTTTCAACTTATCTAAGTTGTGCCAAAAGAGTTGTTATTTTTATCATATTCTGGAAATTTGTAGAGATTTTTAAATGCTGTCAGAGATCAAGTATACTGTTATATACAAGAGGTGCCTGCTTTATATTTTAACCTTTTCTAGTATCTAAGTTACAATCTCCTCCAGCTCAGTGAAGGAGCCAAAACTGCTGAAATCTAACGTGACACTCAAATGCCAAAACCTTGTTATAAACAAGTGACACTAGTCTCAGTACTGATTTCCTTTACTTTGGATACTGATCAGTTCATGTCCACCACTTCCATTCAGCATAATCTTTTTTAAAAAGGTTCTTTTTTAAGGAACTCTTTCTACCCCACAGTCTCTTTGACATAAAG